GAAATAGCATAGAATCTATAAATAACTTTGAGCAGTATGATCGTTTTCACAAGATTGATTCTTCCTATCCATGAGAATCGAATGTTTTTTTCATTTCTTTGTGTCCTCTCTAACTTCCTTGAGCAGTAGTTTGTAAATCCCCTTGAAGACATTCTTCACTTCCTTTTTTAGTTGTATTCCTAGGTATTTTATTCTCTTTGTAGCAATTGCAAATGGAAGTTCATTCATGATTTGACTCTCTGTCCATGTTGGTGTATAGGAATGCTAGCAATTTTTTCTCACTGATTTTGTATCCTGAGACTTTGCTGAAATTGCTTATCAGCTGAGGAAGCTTTTGAGCTGAGAGGATGGAGTTTTCTAGATATAGGATCATGTCATCTGCAAATAAAGATAATTTGACTTCTTCCCTCCCTATTTGAATATACCCTTTTTTTTCTTTCTCTTGCCTGATTGCCCTGGCCAGAACTCCCAATACTATGTTGAACAGTAGTGATGAGAGAGGCCATCCTTGTCTTGTGCTGGTTTTCAAAGGGAATGCTTCCAGCTTTCACCCATTCAGTATGATATTGGCTGTGAGTCTGTCATATATGGCTCTTATTGAGGCATGTTCCTTCAATACCTAGTTTGTTGAGATTTTTTAACATGAATGGATGTTGAATTTTATCAAAGGCCTCTTCAGCATCTATTGAGATAATCATGTGGTTCTTGTCTTTAGTTCTATTTATGTGATGAATTACATTTATTGATTTGCATATGTCGAACCAACCCTGCATCCCAGGGATGAAGCCAACTTGATCACGGTGGATAATCTTTTTGATGGGCTGCCACTGGATCCCATTACTGGGTATATACCCAAAGGAATATAAATCATTCTATTATAAAGATATATGCACACTTACGTTCATTGTAGCACTATTCTCAATGGCAAAAACATGGAATCAACCCAAATGCCCATCAATGATAGATTTGGTCATGAAAATATGGTACATATACATCATGGAATACTATGCAATCATAAGAAGGAAGGAGGTCATGTCCTTTGTAGGGACATGGATGGTGCTGGAAGCCATTAACCTCAGTGAACTAACACACAAACAGAAAACCAAACACTGCATGTTCTCACTTATAAGTAGGAGCTGAACAAGGAGAACATATGGACACACTGAGGGGAACAACACGCACTGCATGAAAAATGTCATGGGTGGGGTGGGAGAGCATCAGGAAGAATAGCTAATGGATCTTGGACTTAATACCTAGGGGATGGGTTGATCTGTGCAGCAAACCACCATGGCACATGTTTACCTCTAAAACAAACCTACAGGCCAGGCATGGTGGCTCATGCCTCTAATCCCAGCATTTTGGGAGGCCGGGGTGGGCAGATCACGAGGTCAGGAGATCGAGACCATCCTGGCCAACATGGTAAAACCCCGTCTGTACTAAAAATACAAAAAATTAGCCGGGCATGGTGGCACACACCCGTGGTACTCAGGATGCTGAGGCAGGAGAACTGCTTGAACCCGGAAAGCAGAGTTGCAGTGAGCCGAGATCACGCCACTGCACTCCAGCCTGGCTAGAGAGCGAGACTCCATCTCAAAAAACAAAACACAAAAACCTACAAACCTGCACATGTAACCCAGAACTTAAAAGCTGAAAAAAAAAAAAATTCAATAGAGAGCATCAACAGCAAAACTCATCAAACCCATCTATGAAGTAAAAGATTACTTTAAAATATACTGATATGGCTTGGCTCTGTGTCCCCACCAAAATCTCATCTTGAATTGTAATCCCCATGTGTCAAGGGAGGGATCATGGAGGCAGTCTCCCCCATGGTATCCGCATGATAGTGAGTGAGTTCTCATGAGATCTGATGGTTTTATAAGCATCTGGCATTTCCCCGGCTTGCAATTCCCTCCTGCCACCTTGTGAAGAAGATGCCTTGCTTCCCTTTCCCCTTCCACCATGATTGTAAGTTTCCTGAGGTCTCCCAAGCCATGCAGAACTGTGAGTCAATTAAACCTCCTTTGTTTATAAATTATCCAGTCTTGGATAGTGTCTTTATGGTAATGTGAAAACAAACTAATACATATACCTTCAGAGGAGAAAAAAAGAATAAAGAGAAATAAAGCTTATAGGATTTATGAAACATACATAACATGTAATATTATATAATGGAAAACCCACAAATGCACACATACACAGTCAACTAATCTTCTACAAAGGTGCAAGAATATGCAGTGAGGGAAGGATAGTCTCTTCAATAAATGATGTAACTTGCATAATAAATGGGAAATCTGAATATCCTCATACAGAAGAATGAGACAGAAACTGAAATAGAATATAGAAACCAGAAAAAAAACCACAAAGATTTTGACCTCTACCTTATACCATACAAAATCAATTTCAGATGGCTCAAAATGTAAACAGAACAATAAAGCATTTAGAATATAACATAGAAGTGTATCTTATATTAACTTTGGATAGGAAAAAAACTTTTTAACAGGACACACTAAAGATTACCTAGAAAAATAACATTAATAAATTAGATTACATTAAAATTTGAAACTTATCATCAACAGACATCTTCAAATGAATGACAGAAGATAATTTGAATACATATTCCTGGAAAAAGACTCACATCAAGATTTTTGCAATGGTAAATGAGCATTAAACAGCACTCAACTTAATTAAAAGTGGATATCCAAATTATAGGTATATTTAAAAAGGCCTTTATGTTCTTCTTTTCTTGGATCTTGTTTTGCTGGAAAAAGGTTTTGTTCTCAGTTGCCTAAATCCTTTTTCTCCATTTTGTCTTGCCACTGAATACACACATGAGAGGCCTTAAGATAACCCCTGGGGTCACTGGACTCCTTGGGAAAAACAGTGAAGGCACCACTCACCCTGTTTTGGGAAGAAATCAGTTCTCGTCATGGAACCCCAGGAATTAAAAGTGGATGAATCTCTCTCAAAATCTATTTTTGCCTCCCAATCATGCCTGTTTATTAGCCTTTAGAAGCTGCATGTTTTCCTATATAAAGAAATCCTACTAAGTATTAAGAAATAGACTAATATAAAATTGGGTATAAAATGTGAATAGGTACTTCTCAAATGAGGATCACCAAGTATCCAATAGGCATATAAGAATGTGCTCAATATTATTACCATTAAAGGAAATGAAAAACCCTGAATACAACTCTACTACAAATATGCTAAAATATAAAATTACAAAAACTAAAAACATCAAGTATTAGCGATATGTGCAAGTCTCATATTGTGTATGAGGGAAGCATAAATTGATATTTTTAGGAAGCTGTTTAGCAGAATCAACTATAGCCAATTAAAAGTATGCCCTATGACTCAGCAATCACATTCCTAGGTATATATTCCTAGGTATAACAGAAATTAGTCCATATTTGAACAAAAAAAAGTTTAGAATGTTTCTAGTAACTTTATTCAAAAATAGCCCTCTATACAAATGATCTCACCTTTAACTTCAAAAATCACCTCTATATACCAACAAGAACTAGGAAAAGCATCTTTTCTCAAGCCTCCAATTCCTCCACAAACATTTTCCCCTTTTTTACTTGAGGTGCTAATCTCCCTAATTTGTATAGCTCCACATGTGGTCAGGAAAGAATTCAAAAAGATGTACTCCAAAATAACGTTCAATATTCAGTTACACAGAGAAATGGCAAACAGCTCACTCTGCTGAAAGGTATGATCAGGGCAAGGTGTGGTGGCTCATGTCTGAAATTCCAGCACTTTGGAAGGCCGAGGCAGGCAGATCACAAGGTCAGGAGTTCGAGACCAGCCTGACCAACATGGTGAAACCCTGTCTCTACTAAAAATACAAAAATTAGCCAGGTATGGTGGCATGTGCCTGTAATCCCAGCTACTCAGGAGGCTGAGGCAGGAGAATCGGTTGAAACCGGGAGGCAGAGGTTGTAGTGAGCTGAGATCATGCCACTACACTCCAGCCTGGGTGACAGAGTGAGACTTCGTCTCAAAAAAAAAAAAAAAAGGATTTTCAGTTCTGATACACCAAGCACTTTGTGACACATTTTTTAAGTTTAAATTGTGTATAATATAGAGGGTCTATAAATAATATCAACTGACAAAGATATTAATAATTCATAAAATCATCATGCTATGATGGGTGTTTTTTCTCTTTTATAAACTTCCTGATATATAAAATGCATGTACATAATAATTATAGATCATATCACATATTACACGTTTTATTTTCAGGCTATGGAAAGGTATTTTATCTTATTCAGCAACTTGAATTAAGCACAGAGTCTCACTGGGCATAAAATATTATCTCTGAAGAGTTTTCATAGGAAGCTGAAAAAGTCTGCAGTGATTGTACACTTTGGTTTTGGTTTTTGAGTTTGTTGTTGTTGTTGTTGTTGTTACTTGTTTACTTGTGTTTTGACTGTTTGCCTGACATTTGTCAGGTCATCACCAGGCACAGGATTAAGGGCACATTGAAATCTGTGGTCTCTCTATTTTATAATTTACTTTACCCCAAAATGCAACCTTAACTATACAGTAAAACAACGTAAAGAATAGGGAAGATCAATATTTTGCTCAAACAGGCAACTACCAAATAAAAGGGAGAGTTAAGGACCAGGGCCCAGGTTTATTGATTAGTACCCTTCCCTCTAGACCTTGTGGGGATTAAAAGTAAAAAGACTTGTTAATACTAACCTATTACAGAAGTGATGAAGAGGACATGTGCTTGATAACGAAGTCTCTGTGGAGGCATCCAGAGAATCGGCCTGCGACTGGAGTCAGGCGCTGCGAGTATGACGCTAACATGGACAGGAAAGCATTCGTCTGTGTCAGATCCCACCCCACGCCTCATCTCTCACTGCAGTCCTGAGGGAGAGCAGGCTCAGAACAGTTTCCAGGCCCCCAGGGTGCCTGTGTCGGCGCAGGTCTCCACGTGGAGTCCCCTGGCGGCCGCTCTAGACCATAACCGCTGCGTTGGAATCTCGCGAGAAGAGATGAGGGTCACCACCCAGGAAACATCTCCGACTAGGGAGTGCTGCCTCCGCAACTCTGAAGCCGGAAGATCCGTAACTAAGGGCACCAGCTGCAGGATCACACCCCTCTGGCCTTGTGACCAAGTCAGTGTAGGATATGGTCTGCTGTGGACCATAAGTTCCTCTTGTTCGAGTTTCAATTTTGTAAGTTTCTCTTTTTTGCTCCCCAATACAGTGCTACAGGAGGGAGGGTGTTTTGTTTTGTTTTGTTTTGTTTTGTTTTGTTTTTGGCGCTGAGGAAACAGACTTTGAAAGAGTAAATGATGTGAACAAGGTCACGTAAGGTAAGATTTGAACTCACGACTGGTAAGATACGAACTCAAGTTTGACTCTTTCCACTATAGCTTTCAATTTCAAGCTTAATGGGCCATCTCAAAGGCAATTTAAGCCTTAAGAGTTCATGGTTTATATAAGTGAAAGGAAACGTTTATAAACGAAAAATGTAAAGACAAGATCTTAGACTTTGACAGTCTTCCCTTGGAGATTGGGGAGACTGTCAAAACCACATGAGAAAATTTACAAGACAAAGCAATTAAAAAAAATGTTGCAAGAAACAAAAGCTCTCTCTTATTAGTTTTAGCAAAATTAAGATATATTTGTTATAATATATGAACAGGTATTTTACATAATGTAAGGACCAGAAATCAGCCAGGTTTCTGAAAGAAATTGGAACTAGAAAATGGAAAGCCATCATAATCTTGGGAAGTTCTGTTCTTCCATCTCTGCTTTTCTCTGGGTGTCTTCTCTGTCCTCTCACTCTCAAAACTTACTTTCTCTACAATTTTGTCCATTAGAGAAGAGCATGGCAATGCCACTGCTACTAAATTTTTACATCTTCTCAACAAGAGACCAGCCTGAACAATCTTGGAAAGAGAATATCATGAACTCACCTTGCTTTAGATGTTTACCTTTGACCCAATCAGCTAGGATGAAATAATAATTATGGATACTAAATATGGATGCTAGGGAGAATAACACAGGTTATATACAATCTAATGATAACTATCTGTGAGTTGTAATTTTCTTATCTATTGAACACCCTCTCTATATTTTTATTGGTTCCTAACTTATGAAGCCCACCTTTCCAGAATATAACATATCACTCTATTTTCCAGCCTCCCATGCATCTGGTGGAGGTATATGACATGGGTTCTTCCAGTCAGGTACCCCTGAACCAGGCTTTAATTTAGAGGGAAACAATGAGTAAGAGAATAAACCATGGCAACCAAAAGCCCAATGTTTCTGACCCTGTAAGATGTGGGGAGATGGGTAATTTCTAGAGGGATTGATGTTATTGGGACAGTCACCATATTCTATTTACTAAAGCCTAATTTAAGGTTTGTAAGTGAACAAACAATTTGAGAGGTAACTAATGGATTTCTCAAGATGGTAATATTGGTGGTTTCATGCAAAAAGCTCTCAGGGAACAACAAAGTCATGAAAAATAGGCAGCTGTAGGTCGGATTTCCCTCTAAAGTTTAAGTTTCTTACCCCCCAAAAAATTAACATTAATTTGTTTTCATATTTTCCTACAGAAAAGGAACACATTTATTCTTTGTCTATTGTATCTTAGTGAAAAATGCCACGAACTCGTCTGTGGATAAGAGAGGAAACAAGAATGTTGGGGGTAAGAACTAAATGCCACTTGAGTGAATAAATGATTATAGTGTTGCGATTTCTAAATATAAAAGGGAAGAGACTGTAACAACCTCTATTATGAACTCCTCATATGGAGGAATGTTAATAGAAGTGTCCTGAAATTGTTATGTAGCATCTGCATTTTTCCACATTCAGCCTCAACACATAAGCTATTTATCAGGCTCACATTAAATAAAGCAGAAATTATGAATTTATCAGCTACATGTAAAAGACCCAACAAAGTCTAAACCCACTCATGCTCTCAGAAAACCCTGACTCTGGAAATGGGTAAAGAAATCTCTTTTTGGCATCTATAAATTATTTCAAGCTAAGCTAATGACATGGTTCTAAATGAGATGATCAAATTGTGGAAACTACATTCAGGAGAAGCTGCAGACCATAGAGCTTTATGGACAGTGGTCACAATAGCACTGTGCTTTCAAGATTACCCCCAAAACACATGACTCTTTTCCCAGTCAACTTCATCAAATATGGCAGGTATTCACCCATATTGCTGGATGATTTTGCATTATCCACTCATTGTTGGATGATAGAACCAGATTAGGATTAAACAAGCAGGATTAAAGTTTGGTTCAGGAAAATTCCCAACATCACAAGTATATTATTACTCCCACTTATTTAAGATCTGCCTGATCCTTTGCCAGAATTGTACTAAGAGCCTTACATAAAACAAGCAATGAACCCAATATTTTCTCTCCTCATTTTCAAGGTATGATATTAAAGATGTGGATTCCTAACCCCCTTATCCATTTATCTGGTCTTGATATTGGGAAATAATTAGTTGAAATGTATTTGAGAATAAATAAATTTGTTATTGTCTATATTACTGTCTTTCTAATGAGATCTACTGTTATCTAAGAAGATACAGAGCTTTGGTTTTATTTCATGCATTAAGACATTCCAAAGGCCATTTCTCCCTATTCTTACCACTAACTATATCTAAAACTTTGGATAAATACAAGAAGATCCTGAGAAGTACAGATAAGGAAGAATAAGATTTAGGGAGCTTTGAACCCAGAGAATGATATGTTAGTGAGTTTCCTGGGTTTTCTTTTTATTTCATATACCTCAAACTGGGTCCCCAGTTGAGATATACCTACTAATGTTTTGAAGCCTACAATTTCAAAACATAAAATACCTAGGAATAAATTTAACCAAGAAGGTGAAAGGAAAACTATAAGTAAAACTACAGAAGACTGATAAAAGAAATTGAAGAGGGCACAAACAAACAGAAAGACATCCCATGCTCATGGATTGGAAAAATGACGATACTAACCAAAGAAATCTACAATTTCAATGTATTCCAAATCCAAATACCAACGTCATTTTTTATAGAAATAGAAAAAAGAATCCTAAAATTTGTATGGAATCAAAAAAGTTTCAAATAGCCAAAGCAATTCAAAATACCTAGAAGAGAGGAACTTGAAACATTTGCAACACATAGAAGTATCCTAAATACCCTGGCTTGATCATTACACATTCAATAAATGTAGCAAAATATTACATGTACCCCACAAATATGTACAAATATTATATCACTAAAAAAATAAATTTTAAAAATAAAAATTTGATTGATATAACTAAGCAAGAAAAACAAATATATTAAAGAACTCAACACCACCATCAACCAGTAAAATGTAATTAATATTTATAGAATATCTAACATCAGAACATATACTCTTTTTTTTTCTTTTTTTTTACTTTTAGGTTCAGGGGTATATGGGTGGGTTTGTTATATAGTAAATTGTTATTATGGGGGCTTATTGTACAGATTATTTAATCACCCAAATCATAAGCATAGTACCTCATGGGTAGTTTTTCAATCCTCACCCAGTTCCAAACTTCTACCCTCAAGCAGGTCCTGATGTCTGTTGTTACCTTCTTTGTGTTCATGTGTACTGGACATTTAGCTCCCATAAGTCAGAACATGCAGTATTTAGTTTTCTGTTCATGTGTTAGTTTGCTTAGGATAATGGCCTCCAGCTCTATTCATGTTGCAGCAAAGGACATGATTTCATTCTTTTTTATGGCTTAGTGTGTATGTACCACATTTTCTTTATCTAGTCTACTGTTGATGAGCATTTAGGTTGATTCCATGTCTTTGCTCTTAAGAATACACATTCTTTTTAAGTGTCCATGGACCATTAACCAAATAAACTATATTTTGGGCCATAAAACAAACTTTGAAATATTTAAAAGAATATATTTAAATATTTAAAAGAATATTTAAAAGAAATATTTAAAAGAAATCATATGGAATGTGTTCTTTCACCAAAATAGAATCATACTAGAAACCAAGTAAGAGAAAGATAACAAAAAAGCTCCAAACTTGAAAATTAAGACACTTCTAAATAATTAATGCTTTAAAGAGGACATTTCAATGAAAAATTTATAAAATTCAATTAAATTATAATGAAAATACATGATATCAAAATGTATAACACTAAATGCTTACAGAAAACAAGAAAATTGTCAAATAAATACTCTAAACTCTCACCTAAAAAAAAAACTAGAAAAGAGAAGACCAAAATAATAAACCCAAAGAAATCAGGAGAAAATAATAAAGATAAGAAAATAAATCAATAAAATTAAAATTTAAAAAGTAGAGAAAATCAGTACAACAAATAGTTGATTCTTATAAAATATCATCAAAATCAACAAACATCTAGCAAGACTGATCAAGAAAAAGAAGACAAAAATTATCAAACTCAGAAATAAAATAGAGTATATTACTACAGATAATTTACATCTCAAAATAATATTAAGAGACTGCTATCAGTAATATAGACACAAATTTGACAATTTTGATAAAATGAACAAATTTTCCCAAAAAGCACAAACTACAGTTCAATATGAAATAGATCATTTTAATGGCCCTATAATTGTTAGAAAAATTAAATTTGTAATTTTAAAACTCCTGAAAAGGAAATGTCCAGGCCAGGCCTGATTTCACTGAAGAATTCTACCAGATGTTCTTAGAATATTCAACACCAGTTATTTTCAATATATTTCAAAAAAACAGAAGAGAATGAAACATTTCCCAACTTATTTGAAGAGGCCAATATTATTCTGATACCAAAACCAAATAAAGATAGTACAAAAGAAGAAAACTATAGATCCATATCCTTCAGAATATAGACCCAAAAATCATTTATGAAGTATTAGCAAATATAATTCAACAATATTTAAAAATACTTTTCCACCATGACTAAGTGAGACTTATTCCAGATATACAAAGCTGGTTTAGTACTCAAAAAGCAATCGATGTAACCCATCATATTAATAGGCTAAAGAGGAAAAATCACATGATCATGTCAGTTGATGCAAAATAAACCACATTTGACAAAATTTAACACCTGCTCATGATATTTTAGAAAGCTCTTAGAATAATAGAAATGTAAGGGAACTTCCACAACCTGATAAAGAACACCCACAAAAAAACTTACATCTAACATTATATTTCATGTTTAAAAATTGAAGTATTTTCACCTAAGATTGGTAACAGCGCAAAGATATCATGTCTCACCATGCTTACTAGCACAGTACTGGAAGTCTTAGCACAGATCAATAAGATAAAAAAGAAAAATAAAAAGCATACAGATTGTAAAGAAAAAAATGAAAATACCCCTGTTTGCAGATGACATGATGATCTATGTAGAAAATCCCATGCAATTAAAAAAAAAAAAAAAAAAGACTCCTGGAACTAATAAGTGAGTTCAGTAAGGTCACAGGATACAAGATTAATGATCAACATACAAAATTGATTATATTTTTATATAATAGCAATGAACATATGGACAACAAAATTTAAAACACAATACTATTTAAAATCAGCCAAACAAATACTTAGGTATAAAGTTAGCAAAATATGTACAGGACTCATATTTTGAAAATTATTTAATACTAATAGAGGCTGAGGCGGGTGGATCACCTGAGGTCAGGAGTTCAAGACAAACCTGACCAACATGGTAAAACCCCGTCTCTACTAAAAATACAAAAATTAGCCAGGTGCCGTGGCACATGCCTGTAATCCCAGCTACTTAGGAAGCTGAGGCAGGAGGATTGCTTGAACCTGGGAGGCAAAGGTTGCAGTGAGCCGAGATCATGCCACTGAATTCCAACCTGGTTGACAAGAGCAAAACTTCATCTCCAAAAAATAAATAAATAAAATAAAATAAAAGAATTCCAAGTAGGTTACATAAATGAAAAGACATTTATTGTTGTGACTGAAAATCTCAACATAGTAAAAATATTAATTGTCCCAAAATTGACATATCGATTTAGCACAATTCCTATCAAAATCCTGGAAACATTTTTTGTAGATTTAAATAAGATTATCAAAAATTTCTATGGAAAGGTTGAGAAGCTAGAATAGCTAAAATTTTTTAAAGAATAAAGTGAAAGGAATCATACTACCTGATTTTAAGACATGTAGTTACAGATTTTATAACTACAGATATTAAGACTGTGTGGTATTGGTGTAGTAACAGATACACAGATAAATGGAACAGAACACACTATCCATAAGTAGACTCATACAGTTATGGTTGACTGACTTTTTATAAAAGTAATTCAATGGAGGAAGTATAGTCATCTCTAAAAATTGTGTTGGACTAACAGGATAACCACTGGCAAAAAATAAAAGAACCTCAAACTAAAGTCTCCTACCTTATACAAAAATTAACTCAAAATGAATACTATATTTAAATATAAAATATAAAACTATAACACCTTTAGAAGAAAGCATAGGAGAAAATATTTAGTACCTAGGACTCTAGAGCTCTTTAACATGACCTTAAAAACATGATCCATCCATAAAAGACACAAATCAATAAATTTTATTTCACCAAAATTGTTTTGTTTTATGAAATACCCTTGTTAGGAAGATGAAATGACAAGCTACAGAGTAGGAGAAAATGCTTGCTAACCACATCTCTGACAAAGGATTTATATCTAAGAATATCCTTCTTAAAATCCTTAAGACTCAACCACAGAAAAAACACAAATGATCCAACTTTAAAACCAGCAAAAGACATGAAAAGACATTTCACTGAAGAAGATATACAGATGGCATAAGCATACGGAAATATGCTCAACATCATTAGCCACGAGAGAAATGCAAATTAAGACCATAATGAGAGATCACTATAAACCTATTAGAACAACTAAAATAAGAAATTGTGACAGTACCAAATGCTGGAGATGATGCAGGGAAACTGGATCTCTCTTACATTGCCAGTGAGAATATGAAAATGATATAATCACTCTCAAAAATAGTTTGACATCTTATTTAAGTACTAAACATACACTTACCATTAAATTTAGCAAGTGAGCTCCAGGGTATTTATCTTGGATAACTGAAAACTGATGTCTGCAGAATTTACATATGACTCTTCATAGCATCTTTATTTGTAATAGCTCCCAAACTGGAAACTGTCAAAATACCCCCTCAAGAGGTGAATAAACTCTAGTTGTTCATACCATAGACTACTACTCAGAAATTAAAAAGGAGTGAACTACATTGTTACACGTAACAACTTGATGAATCTCAAAGGTATTTTGCTGGACAACAACAAAAAAGCCAATCACAAAAGGAACATACTGAATTATTCCATTTATTTGACACTATCAAAATGATAATAGTGAGGATATGAAAAACAAATTAGTTACTACCAGAAGTTTAGCATTGTTGGGACAATAAAGATACAGCATGAGGGATATCTTCATGGTGATAGAATAGTTCTGTATCCTGATTATGGTTGTGATTATGCAAATATGCTTATGTGCTAAAATGACACATAACTATACACACACACTGTATCGAGGTTAATTTCCTAATTTTGATATTGTCATATAGTTATGTAAGATATAATCATTCTGAGAATCTGGACTCAGGACACAAGGACCTGTCCATAGTTTTGAAAATTCCTATGAATTTATAATTACTTAAAAATAAAGGTTTTTTTGTAATTCCACATCCTTCACTAAACTCAGACTTCAGAGAAAGTCATTGTGTTCCACACCAAGCAAGGAGATGAAATGTGCACAGCATGTCAGTCAGTGGGAAAAGTCCTGTCCATTCCAATTTCCCCTTGCTTCCTGCCACAGCCTGCCTGAAGTACCTCTAAATGCGTAGTTTTGTGTTGCCTAGGCATTAATCTGCAAGTGAAAATAGTATTTTCATTAATTAGCCACTTCTTGGCTCTCCCCAGAATCACACACCAGAACAGAAGCTCATTGCAAACTTCAAGTAGAGGTGTCCATGTTTTAAGAAAATCTGTGAGAAAATATGTCAGGAATCCCCAGACATTGTGAAACTATGGTGGCAGTATGGTGAACTCCAATCCTGCTCCTTCAGCTTTTTCAAACTTAACCCCTGTGCTTACCTGGGAGTGTAGGTAGGGAGAGTCAGAATGTTGGTTCATTCAGCTGTGGCAGGAAAAAAGCACCCCTGAGAAATATCTACCTGAAAACCAACTGAAAGGCCCTACAGTGATACATTAGAGGGCTCTTCATACAACTTAGAATTGTCCTCCTATGGCTGAGAAACTGTCGTAACTGACCTATAACTTCAGTGGGTACGAATTATCTGAGACCTCCACATCAGGAAATAGCCCCTTGGAAGAGTGACAGAAAACCAAGGATCCCAAAGGCTCACTATCCTTTCAAAAGAACCCTCTTGTGAAGGACTCAAGACTATCAGTTATAGATGTTTTGGAGGTGGGAAGAACAAAAGGAACCAAAGTTCAAAACCCAGCTTTGGTAAGATAAGAGGAATCTAGGGAAGGTCAGAAATACCAAGTCTAGTTGCCTGTAGAACATAAGAGTTGTATATGCAGGATAATATTGTTGACCTAGGTCAAGAATTCTTGACCATACAGGTCAAGGATTGTTGACCACACAGGGATTGATGACTCTCAAAAGAGATCAATTCTTCTGGACTCCAGGACTAATGCTATGTAATCTCCTGAACCGATCAGATAAACAGACTCCTAGTATAATTTTATTGGATATGTACATAGTCATTATATCTACAAACTGCTCTGAAATAATAAAGTCTCCTTATCTGATTTGAATGTTGAGAAATTTAAAATTCTGTTAGGTCATCACCTTCCATCTTCACCTTGGCTTTTTCTTGATGTATATTCCTTTCAAAGGTTGAACTAAAATAATAATGGTAGTGTTATTTTCTTCCAGGCCATACAAATAATGACTGGTATACTTCTTGATTGCCTGGGACTGCTCTGGATGTATTTGTTTTTCACACAAATTGTTGCATTTGGAGCGACATATACTCCTATTGCATTACTAACAGCATACCCATTTTGGTCATCCTGGCTTGTGAGTAAATCAAATTTCTGATTGTTATTCATTACATTTAATGACTGTGTATCAGTCAAGCAGTACGCCAGAGACTGAAACTAAAAATGCACAATCTCTATTCTCAAGGAACTCATTTTATCTGGTTGAAAATAATATACCAATATGAAAAAACTTAGTTCTTATCAATGATATTCTTTAATAATAAGAGTCTTTTGTTAAAAGGCTACCTTTTACATTCTTCTAGGATATGAAGAAAAATGATAAGATACACAAGGGCATTTTGGGAAAACAGAAAATTGTTGGTGACTATTCAACTGCCCGTATGGTATTTATTTTGCCAGTGGGGCAAATAAAAATGAGAGAGCATAACTGCTGAGGATGTGGGATATATAGTTTTTTTGCAGTGGGAATAATAGAATGTGAGGATAGGGATATATACAATTTGTGTAGGGAAAGAAACATAAAATCTTTGTGTTGTATTCAAGAAGTATTTGGTAAAATTGAACAGAGATTTTAAAATTGAATTTTATTGTGTCTGATAGTATGATGAGTGATGTGCCATTGTCTTTAAAGGGGATATCATGAAGAAGGATATTATGGTGGTTGATGTGCCATGTTTCCCACAAAATCCTGAGTGAAGCTTATTATAATACCACATTTGGAGTTTGATCACTCAACCAGTACTTATTGAGTACCATGATGTGTCAGGCACTGTTTTAGGTGCCTGAGATACATTAGCAAACAAAACAAAGATCCAAGTTCTTAGGGAGCTTTTATTTTAGCATGGCATAGTATATTAGAAGATGATAAGGCTATAGAAGCAAAAAGAAAAAGAGTAGGCTAAGGGGGACTAGAATTTTTGGGGAAAGTGGCAAAGGGATATAGGTTATCACCTAAAATTGGGTGGTTGAGGTAGGGCTCATTGAAAAAGTGACTCCATTAATCATCTATTGTTATGTAATAAACCACCAAAAACCCAGTGGCATACAATTACAAGCATTTATTTTTTACTCATGCAGACTTGGCAGAGATTCAGCTGCTCTTGGCCTGGTTTCAAGCTACAGGACAGGTCCAGTCCACTCCATATGTATCTTATTGCTTTTAGACTAGGGGCTACTAGAGTATTATTCTTCTCACAATGAAAAGTGAGAACCACAAGAGGACAATCCTAATCACACAAGACCATTTCAAGCTTTGGCTTGGGTCATGTTTGTTAAAATCCCAGCTAAAACAAATAAAATGATCAAGTCCTAAATTAAAGAGCAGGGAAGCACAATCCAAGCACCATGAGATCATGGCAAGAGTATGAAAATATATTATTATTACCTAAAAGTAAAAATTGTGACCAACAGTTCAAACTACCATAGTGACATTTGAGCAAGGACTTGAAAAAGTGATGGTTTTGACCACAAAGATATGTTGGGAAAGAACATTTTGGGGAGAAAAGAGTCAGAATGAAGTCTTTGATGAAGAGTTCTTAGAAAAATGTAGTCAGTATTTCTGGAACATTTCTGGAACAGAGTGAGCAACCACAATAGTAGTAGAAAACAAGCTAGAAAAATAATGAGGTGCATGACAATATAGGGCTATGTAAGCCATTGTAAAACATTTTAGCTTTTACTGTAAGTGAATTGGAGTTATTATAGTGTTTCATAAACAGAATTTAAATAATTCTGGTTTAGGTTTTAAAAGAATCACTTTGGTTTCTGTGTTGAAAAGAGAATGAAGGGGTCCAAATAGACTTTTTAGAAAGCTACTTCAAAAGTCCAGGTGAGACTCAAAGTTGTTAGTAGTGAAGGTGGTGAAAGTAATATAGACATATGTTGAGGTAGAGCCAACTTAATATCTTGATGGATTGGGTATGGAGTGTGAAAGAAGTTAAAGATAATGCCAGGGTTTTTGTTCAAGCTAATAGAAGGAATGACTTGACATCAAGTGATACAGGTGAGACTGTACAGAACTGGTTTCCAGAGGAAGATGATGAGTTTGCTTTGACAATATTGAGTTTGAAATATTTATTTAATATTCAACTGGAGATGTCAAGTAACCTGTTGGATATGGAATGTAGAGTTCAGAAGACAGAATTAGAATAAAGATACAGAATTGCAGAAAGGACAAGAATTCACCAACCAAGTATCTGCTGCCTTCAAGAGACTCACCTAACACACAAGGAATCACATAAACTTAAGGGAAAGGGGTAGAAAAAGATATTCCATGCAAATGGACACCAAAAACTAGCAGGAGTAACTATCCCTGTATGAGGCAAAACAAACTTTAAAGGAACAGCAGTTAAAAAAGACAAAGAGAGACTTTATATAATAATAAAAGGCCTTGTCCAACAAGAAAATATCACAGTCCTAAATATATATGCACCTAACACTGGAGCTCCCAAATTTATAAAACAATTACTACTAGACCTAAGAAATGAGATCGCAACACAATAGTAGGGGGGACTTCAGTAGTCCACTGGCAGCACTAGACAGGTCATCAAGACAGAAAATCGACAAAGAAATATGGATTTAAACTACACCCTGGAACAAATTGACTTAACAGATATTAACAAAACAATTCTACTGACAACTGCAGAATATACATTCTATTCATCAGCACATGGAACTTTCTCCAAGATAGACCAAGTGATAGGCCACAAAACAAGTCTCAATAAATTTAGGAAAATTGAAATAATATCAAGTACTCTCTCAGACCACAGTGGAATAAAATTGGAAATCAACTCCAAAAGGGACCTTTAAAACCAAGCAAATACATGGAAATTAAATAACCTGCTCTGAATGATCATTGGGTCAACAATGAAATCACAATGGAAATTACAAAATTATTTGAACTCAATAATAGTGACACAACCTATCAAAACCTCTGGGATACAGCAAAGGCAGTACTAAGAAAAAGTTACATGCCTACATCAAAAAGTCTGAAAGAGCACAAATAGACAATCTAAGGTCACACCTCAAGGAACTAGAGAAACAAGAACAAACCAAACACAAACCCAATAGAAGAAAAGAAATAACAAAGATTAAAGCAGAACTAAATGAAATTGGGGGGGAAAGGCAAATACAAAAGATAAATGAAACAAAAAGCTGGCTCTTTGAATAAGTAAATACAATTGATAGAACATTAGCAAGAGTAACCAAGAAAAGGAGACAATCCAAATAAGCTCAATTAGAAATGAAATGGGAGATATTACAACTGAAACCACAGAAATACAAAAGATAACTGAAGGCTACTATCAACATCTTGTGCACATAAATTAGAAAAACCTAGAGGAGATGGAAACATTTCTGGAAATTTACTACCCTCCTAGATTAAACCAGGAAGATATAGAAAGCTCTGAACATACAAAAAAAAAAAAAAGCAGTGAGCTTAAAATGGTAATAAAAAATTGCTAACAAAAAAAGAAAAAGCCAAGGACGAGATGAATTCAACAGCAGAATTCTATCAGACTTCAAAGAAATTGTAACCAATCCTACTGACCCACTCCAGAAAATAGAGAAAAGGGAATCCTCCCTAAATCATTCTTGACGAACCAGTATCACCCCAAACCAAAACCAGGAAAAGGACATAACAAAAAAAGAAAACTATAGACCAATATCCTGATGAACATAAATGCAAAAATCCTTAACAAAATACTAGCTAACCTGAATCCACAGCATATCAAAAAAATAATCCACCATGATCGAGTGGGTTTCACACCAGGGATGCAGGGGTGTTTTAACATACTCAAGTCAATAAATGTGATACACCACATAAACAGAATTAAAAACAAAAATCACATGATCGGCCGGGCGCGGTGGCTCAAGCCTGTAATCCCAGCACTTTGGGAGGCGAGACAGGCAGATCATGAGGTCAGGAGATTGAGACATCCTGGCGAACATGGTGAAACCCCATCTCTACTAAAAAATACAAAAAACTAGCTGGGCGAGGTGGTGGGCACCTCTAGTCCCAGCTACTTGGGAGGCTGAGGCAGGAGAATGGCATAGAACCCAGGAGGTGGAGCTTGCAGTGAGCTGAGATCCGGCCACTGCACTCCAGCCTGGGCAACAGAGCGAGACTCCATCTCAAAAAAAAGTCCATGATCATCTCATAGATGCAGAAAAAGCATTTGACAAAATCCAGCATCATTTTATGATTAAAACCCTCAGCAAATCAGCATACAAGGGACCATACCTCAATGTATAAAAGTCATCTATAACAAATCTACAGCCACATAATACTGAATGGGAAAGTTTGAAAGCTTCCCTCTGAGAACTGGAACAGGACAAGGATTGCTCACCTCTCACCACTTTTTATTCAACATAGTGCTGGAGTCCCTAGCCAGAGCAGTCAGACAAGAGAAAGAAATAAAAGACATCCAAATCAATAAAGAGGAAGTCAAACTCTGCTTTTTCCTAATGATACAGTTGTATATCTAGAAACCCCTAATGACTCATCCAAAAAACTCTTAGAACTGGTAAATGAATTCAGCAAAGTTCAGGATAATAAATTAATGTACACAATCAGTAGCTCTGCTATACACCAACAGCGACCAAGCTGAGAAACAAATCAAGAACTCAACCCTTTTACAATAGCTGCAAAAATAAAATAAATATTAAGAGTATACCTAATCAAGGAAGTTGAAAGACCTCTGCAAGGAAAACTACAAACACTGCTAAAAGAAATTATAGATGACAGAAACAAATAGAACACATCCCATGCTAATGGATGGGTAGAATCAGTATTGTGAAAATGACCATACTGCCCAAAGCAATCTACAAATTCAGCACAATTCCCATCAAAATATTACCATCATTCCTCACAGAACTGGAAAAAACCAATCCTACAGTTCATATGGAACCAAAAAAAAAAAAAAAAAAGCCCACATAGCTAAAGCAACATTAAGCAAAAAACAAATCTGGAGGCATCATATTACCCGCCAACTTCAAACATAACTATAAAGCCACAGTCACCTAAACAGCATGGCACTGGTATAAAAATAGGCACATAGACCCAATGGAACAGAATGG